TTTTTTTTTTTTTTTTTTTTTGCGGTACGCGGGCCTCTCACTGCTGTAGCCTCTCCCGTTGCGGAGCACAGGCTCCGGACGCGCAGGCTCAGCGGCCATGGCTCACGGGCCCAGCCGCTCCACGGCATGTGGGATCTTCCCGGACCGGGGCACGAACCCGTGTCGCCTGCATTGGCAGGCGGACTCTCAACCACTGCGCCACCAGGGAAGCCCCTAGCGAGGTAGTTTTTTAAAGATACAATGGCAGGTAAGACACACTGATCATGTCTTTCATGGAGTTTGTATTCTAGTGGGAGAAGATAATCAGAAAGATATATAGAGAGATGAGAGAGAAAACAAACGGCCCTAAAGGAGATATATGGCTCAAGGAGAATTTATTTTCAAAGGAAACGTTCACAGAAGCATGTGTTAGTGCAGTATCCCAGCTGGGGGCAGCCCTGCTCTCACCATATGAGCCTATAAGGATGTAGGGAGAGCATGATTACTTGAATCCAGAAAGAAACAGGGTTCTGTACAGTTGGCCATTTTCAAAAGAACAGTGCCCTTAGGTAGAAGGACACATCCAGATACAAACTGGGAGGCATATTCTCAGTGCATACATCTGACAAAGGATGTGTATCTAGAACATATGAAGAATTCATACAACTAAATAAGAGGAAGACAAATAACCTAATAAAAATGGGCAAAATGTGTAGCTAATAAATACATGAAAAGATGCTCAACATCATTACTCACCATATAAATGCAAGTTAACATCACTATTTGCCAACTAGAATGGCTAAAATTAAAAGAAAAATGCCAAAGGAACCTCCCATCGGGCTGCTGGGAACGCAAAAATGGCACAACTACTTTGGAAAGTCGTTTGTCAGTTACTTATAAAGTTAAACATATATTTACCAAAAGACTCAGCAAAAGTATTTACCACCCACACCCCCAAAATGAAAACTTTGTCCACATAAAGACTTAACTTGAATGTTCATGGTAACTTTATTTATAATAGCCCCAAACTGAACACAACCCAAATGTCCACCAATAGGTGGATAAATTAATAAATACCAGCAATAAAAATGAAAAAGAAAACCCTATCAATACATGCAATTCCATGGACGAATTTCAGAAATAGTTTGCTGAGTAAAAGAAGTCAGACATAAAAAAAGCCTTTAGTCCACAGGACAGGATCAAGCCTTGAAGGGAGATTACGTGGACAGAGAAGAGAGTGAGCCCGATATTAGGTCCAGAGTCTAGAGTCCCTCAGTGCTTTCAAACCAAGGAGAAAAGGATCCAAAAAAGGAGTCTGAGAGGGAGCAGCCAGAGGGCTAGGAGGAGACCAGGAGAGAGGGCGTTTTGAGGAGGAGGCAGCGTCATCTGTCTGCACTGCTGCTGAGCCAGCAGGGAAACAGGACAGGACCAAGTGGGGTGCGCTGGTGACCTGGCAAGAGCTGCTGCCGTGGGGACCTGGGCAGAGGAGGAAGTGGAAACGCCAGTTCTCTTGGATGCGAGCAAGGCGTTTGCTTTGAAGTATTGCAGAAAATGGAGCAGAAGGTGATATGGAATCAAGGGAGGTGAACTTCTTTGTTATTTGCTATGTTTTCTTTGTTTGTTTGTTCATTCTAGGATTGGAGATACCATTCTGTAAATTGGGATGAGGTGGTAAAGAGAGAGAGAAAAATAAGTAGATTACTCAGGAGACAGAACAATTGCAGAAGAAAATGGAATGGAATTGCAACAATTTGAGGTTATTGAAAAATACTTATTTTTCCCTTTGATTTATTGATTGCTAACCATTTACTTGTAAATAAAAGTATCGCACCAAGAATCCCTTCATCGCTTATCTATCAGGAAACTGGAATCCCAGGTCCTCCTGGGGTATTCATTCTATAAACACCACTTTGATTTTACTTGTTGGGACAGTCATAGTTTATATTCTGGCATACTCATTCTGGTATATATGGTATGTACATATATTACATATATGACTATTATATGAGTATCAGACACCAAATAACACATCCTCACAAAATTAAAATTACAATGTCCTCAACTGGAAAGACCATGACATTCTAGGTCACTACAATGTCTTATTATTCTGTAAGAGACTGAATATTGCATGAAGAAACATCAAACTGTCATCAAACTATTTACTTGAGAACAGGTAAGGGAGCAAGAGAGTCAGAAAATTAATTAACTGTGAGGGCTCTTATAGAAGTGACAAGGAACAGAGAAGAATATTACCAGAGAAGTAAGCAGAGAATGCCTTTCTCAAGGCAATGGGGAGATAACCACACAAAGATAAGATGTATTAAAACTAGGAGACAGTCATACTCATGTGTACAACAATATTAGCAATTATCACTTGTATAGTATTTTATGCAATGATCAAAATGCAACAAAATTGGAAATTAATAGTTAAACATTTAAAATAGGAAAAGCAAGCAAAAACAAATTTAAATGACAAACTAGAAAAAACATATGGTCCACAAAGGGATAACAAACTTATAAAAGCTATAATAAATAAACAAAAAGAAATGGAATCAACAAGTTTTAATGAATAAAAATGTGAAGTTATTCATTAAAAAAGAAATACAAATAGGTATCAAAGTACAAAAAAAATGGTAGTAGAAACATTATAAAATGAAAAATAAAATGGACAGCTGTTTAAATAATCTTAATTGAGGACATGAATAGAGGGAAAAAGCATTCTTGTCTCTCACTAATGAGAGTATAATTTTGTGTGACTTTTTTGTAGGACTAGTTGCTAATATGAATCAAAAGCTTTAGAATGCCCTTAAAAATTGATCCAATAATTCAACTTACAGAATTTTCCTAGACAAATAATCAGAGAAATCCATAATGATTTTATGTACAGGAAAAAAGGGAGTAAATACTCCAAACATTCAATAAAATGGTGTCAGTTACATAAATTATCTTGTATTAATACAGTGCAAGTCTACAGGTCACTGTGGTAAAATATTCATGTTTTTTATGAAGTGGAAGAAGGTATTTCATAAAGCAGTATTTACAATATTACCTTAGTTTAATGTATTCTGCCTATGCTTAGAATAAAAATAAAAAGGATATACAACTAAAGGTTAATAATTGTTATCTCTGAATTGTGGAATAAAGTTATCTTCAGTTAATTGTGTTTTTCATATTTTTCTCCAATGTGTGGCAATCACACAAAATGCTATTTTTAAAATAAATCAATTTGTATATCTATTTTTTAAATCAATCTCTCAAATAACTATTGAGTTAAGGAGGAAAAATAAAAACACAAGAATATACATTTAGAAAATAACAAGAAAATCACACACTTCAGCCTAAATTTTACCCTAATCATAATTCCAAATAAAGAGGAGAAAATAAATAAAACAATCAAGAAAAGAGTGGCAACAAAGAAGTTCTCTTAAGAGAACAGGCATAATAAACCTAAACTAGAAATAATTAAAAATATATAATTAAGAAAAAGCTATGTTATTTTATTTTTTTAATTTATTTTTATACATTTTTAAAGGTTACGTTCCATTTACTGTCATTACAAAATATTGGCTATACTCCCCATGTTGTACAACACATCCTTGGGCCTGTCTTATACCCAATAGTTTGTACCTCCCCCTCCTCCACCCATATAGTGTCCCTCCTCCCCCTGCTGGTAACCACTAGTTTGTCCTCTGTATCTGTGAGTTTGCTTCTTTTTTATTATATTCACTAGTTTGTTGTATTTTTTAGGTTCCACATATAAGTGATATCATATAGTATTTGTCTTTCTCTGTCTGACTTATTTCACTACACATAATGCCCTCCAAATCCACCCATGTTGCTGCAAATGGCAGATTTTTTTTACGGCTGAATAATATTCCATTGTGTGTGTGTGT